AATAGAAGGAATCTCACAATGCTTAGCTTTAAGCATACCGAAACCTGGATTTGTAGTCTCTCTGATCTTTATCTTGAGCAGATCATTTCTCCTTATTTAAGTTCCTTATTAATTTGTTATTGTTTAGTTTACATATTATAAATTTCTTAAATTCCTTACTTTTTAGACCGTCCACCCAACAGCAGAGTTTTCTTGGTGAAATTAGGGCAATGAATTTTTTTTTTCCTTTTGGCAAAAATTATAATATATATTATGCATATAGTAGTAAATATTTTCTAAACTAATTAAAATAATAATAATAAATGAAATATGTCATCATTATGTATACATTTATTAATCACACATACATTGGCAACCATGTTATAACCTTGATTGGAATAAAACATGGTCATCAAATGTTGCTTTCTTGTTCCTAACAACCAAGAGACTAATTCAAATAATGGTCCAAGATTTTGACATGTTTTATATTTTTGGTGGTTAATATTGTTAGTGGTGCTTAGCTTAAAGAAAGATGAAATGAGTTATCCAATGGGTGGAAGCTAAGCATATGGGGGGATTGCTATTGTTCACACTTCACATGCACTGACCCACACTCCAAAAGTCACCTTGTGGAAAGCTAAGATATTTTGGTCCCATGCAAAATGTGTTCACACTTTATAATTTTGGATTTATATATAATATATTATTGGCAAGTTGGGGCGAATATTTCTTCACCTTTGCACTGTTTGGCATGTAGTGACGACGTGCGGAATGGGGTACATTGAATATGAACCAAGAAATCTTTTTAATATGTTTTATAGTGTATAGCAAGGCAGCTGTTATATGCTCACAGATGACAGTAACACACAATTTTCTCTTTTAATGATATATAGTTTTCTGTGTTTGCTTAATTTTTTTTTTTTTTAAGGTAATTAACGGGAACCATTAATCATGTTAACGGGTATTATTTTTCTTTTTAAATACTCATGATTCTTTTACAAGATAGTATTTAATTTGTTTTATACTTTTTTAAATATTTTAAGTCAAAGAATGACCAACCATTTGGAATGATAATCGAGATGCATGCCATCACATTGGCTGTTAAGGACATTTAGGGGGGTGTATTCAATCATGACTTTCATAGAATTTTAAAGACTTTTATGAACTTTAAAAGTTTGGGGGTATTCAATTCAAACTTTTAGAGAGTCTTTAAAAGTCATGCAATATTCAATCAAGATTTTTAAAGAGTCTTTAAAAGTCATGTGGTATTCGATTAAGACTTTTAGAGAGTCTTTAAAAGTCATGTGGTATTCAAAAAGTTATAAACTTTTGTAGACTTTTTAATTTTAAGACTTTTGTAGACTTTTTCTTCTGAAATATAAATAGTTTGAAATCTAACCATCAACTCCCAGATTTCAAAATTTTCTTTCTAACAACTTTGAATGTTTTCTCTCTCTATTTAAACTCTATTTTTTTCTCCCAATTTAAAATTTATAAACTTATCTAAGTTTAATAAAATTATTTTTTTCTTCATTATCCTATATTTTCCTCATACCTAAACTCTACCAATTTTTCTCTCTCCTAAACTTTACAATCTTCCTCTAAAAATTTAAAATAATATTATTTTTACTTCATTAGTGCTTGTTTATATTAATTTTTATTTTTTCTATGAATTTTTTATCCCTAACTTTCGCTAATTCTCTCTAAATACATGAACAAAACAAATTTTTCATCATCAAATTTTAGTATATGTTTCATAATATTCATATAAATACTTATATATTTTGATTTTTATTCTTTTTATGTTTATATTTGTAATATATATTTTTTCTTTTTTCTTTTTTAACAACAAGTTACTACGAATAGCGAACTACTGTTCGCAACAATAATTTGGGGTTGCAAACAGTAACAACTTGTTGTTGTTCGCAGTCTCAAATTGCTATTGCAAATAATAGTTCTTTGTGTGATGCCTAGCAATATATCAAGTATAATTATATATATATATATATATATATATATTATATTTTTTATGCAACTTGTTTTTTTTTGGTGGAAACCACACATTGTGGTCCGGGTCTTTCTCTGTCCGTTTAACGGTCCAGGTCCACCCAGTTCGCTCCGAGAGGCACAGAAGCTGGCCCAAAGGGAATCGTCACTTGTGGGAATCGAACCCGGGTTATCCCGGAATTCTCCCCCACAAAGAGAGCTCATTTGCCACTTGAGCTACCCTGTTGGGTTTTTTTATGCAACTTGTAATTATATTTTTAAATATTTTATTTGATCAATTCTTTTATTATAAATTTTATTATTCAATATTTTTATGAATTTCTAATGAAATAATTTTTTATTGATGTTTATTAATAATATATATAAGTAATTAGCATATAAGTCTCAACATACTATGGATAAAAATAATAATGTTGAGAATGTTGATGTGGGTGAAGAACTACATAATAAGAAAATTGTATGATATATTATAAATGTTTTGTAAGAAAATTATAAATGATAAGAATCAAAATCATTGAAAGTTTGTAAGGATGTATTCAATTGTATTTATTTATTTATATTTATGTATTTATTTATTTATTAGTGGATGATTTACGTGTGAAGGGTATCCTACGTGAAAAATGGGGTGAGATATGACCCATTTATCTAAATTATTAGATCAACAGTTCAAAATGAAGGAATTTTTTTTTTTTTTTTGAAGTGCTTCTTGGCAACATGGATGCGAATGATCTGAAGTGTCTCGAACTGATACACCTTAAGTGTTGAACTTATGCACCTTAAGTTTTGAACTGATGCACCTTAAGTCTTGAACTAATGCACCTTAATTACTGAATTGATGCACAGTAAGTTTTGAACTGATGCACCATAACCTTCAAACTTATGCATCTTAAACTAGAAAATAATGCACCTTAAGGTTTAAATTTATGCAACTAGAGTATGGAAGTCAATATTCCTAATGAATCAAAGTTGTACACCTTAAAGAGTTAAATTCCTGCACCTAGAGTTTGTAACCCATGCACCTTAGTATGAAAGTCAATATTCCTAATGCACATTAAGCTTTAAACATACACACCTTAAGCTATAAACTTACACACCTTAAGCTATAATATAAACATATGCACCTTAAACTTTAAACTTACGCACTTAAAGCTATAAACTTACGCACCTTAAGCTATAAACTTACGCATCTTAAACTTTAAACTTACGCACCTTAAACTTTGAACTTACGCAAAATTACCATAACATCACCGTATTTTTTTTAAATTTTTTTTCATTCTAAGCTGGTGATTTTGACTAGATCAATGGCTCAGATTTTGTCCCATTTTTTACATGAGAACTATTTCACATTTGATCTCTAGTGTGCATATATATATATATATATATATATATATATATATATATATATATGTATATGTATGTATGTATGTTTTCTTTTGCCGTTAATGTCGTTTGTCTTCAGGAAGTCTATGTTCATAATTTTGAACTCTAGAAGTCTATGTTCATATATAATTACTGAACTCTATGTTAATAATTATAGAACTCTATGTTCATTATTTTTGAACTTCATATTCACAATTATTGAACTCTATATTTACAATTACAGAACTCTATATTCATAATTATAGAACTCTATGTTCATAATTATAGAACTCTATATTCACAATATCTCGGTGAGTTGTTTTGACAAATAAAATAATAATAATTCTGATTAGTGGAGGAAAACGGTGCCACTAACGGCACCGTTACTCCAAAATTTTCAAATGGCGTCCTATTGAAACTGTGTCCACCTTGCAAGATGGACACGATTCGACGGCATAACAATTGGTACATATTAACTCCAACACTAATTAAATTTATTTTATTATTCTAACCTAATGTTTACATATATTATAAGGTGAAAATATTTGATACAGCATTAGTATACATTCTACGATGCACCAAATGCTGCCACGTCATTATAATAAAAATTGACATTTAATCAACCCTTTTCTTGCAATAATATATATTTTTAATTTTTAATAATAATGAAGGACCTTGTGGTCCAATGGTACCAAGTTGCTCTTATATGTAGGAGTGGTGGATTTGAGTCTCGTTTAAAGTAATTATGGTGACATTTGATGTACTAGTTTGTATATGTGGGTATTTCATTCCCTTATAATAATAATAATAATAAAATTAATAATATATACTATTTACTTATAAAGAATCTTTAACTTAATAAAAGAGTAAACTTACCGTAAAAGTAATCAAACAAAATGGACACGCCACCATTAGATTAAAAGTTACAGTCTTGTCGAGATGAAATAAAAAGGTCAAAAATTACCGAACTTTTTTTTTTGTAAATTTTAATAGTTTATGAACTATTATAATAACATTTATTTACTTTAATAATTTACAAATTATTATAATTAAACGCTCTGCTAAAAACAAGAAGCTTGACACATCTCCATCATTACTCATTTTTTGTGGAATTGAAATATTTCATATCTAGCTAATTTTCTGCATCTTCTTAGTGTGACCAATATAACAACTTGGATGTGGACCAATTTCTCATATAGTGAGCTAGTTGATAAGTTTGATAGCAACAAACGCTTTCATCTTGACAGGACTGGACCTTTTACTCTAATGATGCCATTTCCATTTTTAATGATTGCTGATATGGTAAGTTTACTATTTTATTGAGATTTTTAAAATAAGTAAACAGTATTATCTAAAAAAAAAAAAATACAACTCAGTCAAATGTTAATTTTTATTTTAATTTTGTGGTGGCATTTGGTACACCATTGTTGTATAGAATTTATACACTAATAGTGCATCAAATATTTTCTTATATTATAACTATGGAAGAATATGAAAAATGACATGGTAGAGTACATATCCATAATAATAGTAACGAAAAAGATAAAGAAAGTTAATTTTTTATCAAGAAAATGTATAGTATATTGTTGTGCATGTTCAAGAATTGCTTGGAAGCAATCAGCTTTTTGGTGTGAAAGATATCCTAACTAGTTACATTATGTAAAAGACCTATATATCCCCATCAAGAAGTAAACTGTGGCAAGAATAGGGGACCAGAAGCTCGAGAACACATTACTGTGCAGGTAAATATAGTAAAATACGGATAACCTCAGCCAAGCTGGCCAAAGATACAAACTTGTAACCGCAAAATCACAAATTTGAATCCCAACCTTCTTGATTTAAGCTGGTCAGCTATGGACAACCTAAACTGGTTACCTCCTTAAGGTCCTTTGCCAACTAGGGTCACAAGGCAGAGTTCACCCAATGCACACCCTTGAATAGTGGTTGCAGTAAAACAAAATAGGGAAATATCTGCGGGTTTCCCTCGACAACCCAAAAATGCAGCAAAACAAAATAGGGAATATATTAGAAGAAAGGAAAATGAGCGCGATGCGAGGGCAAACGTAATGTTATTTATATGTGTGTGTGTGCATGCATGCAAGGAAACATCAATCTCAAGCACATTATAGGAAATCCATAGGATGCTCCCAATCGTCGTTTCGTTCTTTGAATTTTTTGCGAGAGGAATTTCTCCTTCCGCGTTTGCCATTGTTGGGTTGAGGATGCTGTGTTTCTTCTAGGTCAGCATAATCTTCCAACTCATCTATAGAGTTCCCTCTATTCTGGCCACTCCATAATCCCTATCAAGGATGTTGAATAAAACCACAAGTCAGTTACTGAAGAATTACTCGCATCAAGATGCAGGTATTTCTCGATTATCATGTTTTCCTTTCGATGAATTTAAATGAAAAACTAGCAACTCTCAGGATTAATACAAAATTTTCTTTTGATGGATTAAATGAAAACTGGAACAAAGTGGATATATATATGTTTCAATATATAACCAATAGTATAGATATCCATCAATTAGAACAAATGCATCATGTAATTCTCATGTGTTTATTGAAGCATTCAAAGACAGCCCACAGGCATTAAGTAACCAAAGGAAAATGTCGAATGCAAGATACCTAAGGGTGTGTTTGGTTCATGGGGTTAGACACAAAGAATGAGAATGAAAGTCATAGACAGTGTTTGGTTGATAACTTTTTAAAACACAGGTAATCAGGTATAGGATTTGATTAATCTCTATAAATACAAAACCCATTACCTAATTTAAATCAGGTATCATTCCATCAATTCAACCTTATCCATCCTCATTTCGTTGCCTCCTCACTTCATCGACTTCCTCACTGCATTGCCTACTCACTTTATCGTCACTCTTAAGATCAATAGCCTTGATTTTTTATTTTTGTATTTTTAAAAACCTTTATTCCAGTTATAGGGTCATACATAACCAAACATCAATATTGGTAATCATTCCAATTCCACCCTACTACCAAACATGCAAAAGACATTCACCAAAACGCATTCTAATTACCAAGTATTTGATTCCATTCCGATTCCGATTCCCATTCCCATGTTCAAACCAAACACACCCTAAGTACACAAATGTTCACAATAAAACACAATATACATCTAACCTTTGTAAGCCTTTGTATGCGTGAGGCTGCAGCTTCTTTGACAACAATGGTATCTGATAAAACAGTCACTACATCTTCAACAAATAATCCATAGGTGCTAACCTAACATGAGAACATATATCATGGAATATTTTCAAAAGGAAAATCAAATTTAAAAAACGACGCACGGAACCTCAGTTTGAAGGATTCGTTAGTACATAACTAGGAAAAATAATAAAAATCATTCTTGAATAATAGAGTGACAACTTCACCTACCAAACTTGACGGAATCATTGGTATTCCAAATGAATCAACCTCAAGTGACTCCACGACCCCAGAGTTAACGTTAAAAATGTAATCACGCACCTGCAGAAAAAAGTGTAGGACAACCACCACAAAGAAATAAATCGCATTAGGACATTCTTCAGTGTATTCACGCAAATGTTAAGGATGAAGCTGCAGATTCACCTTTCCAATATTCTGCCGACCTCGTGTTACAACATTGTAACCCACCTAAGAAAGAGCATTCAGCAATGAAATTCACTGAACACAAAAAGCGAAGAGAAACACAGCAACAATGAAGCATGCATTAAAATGAAATCAAGTGGCATGCCTAAGGATAATTGCTCAAAAGTTCTCAAAAATTTATCAAGATCAACATAAAAATTGAATTATGTATATATGCACCATGCCAATTAATGCATAACTACATAGTCCTCATTTCCATCCAAAATCCCCAAGCCATATAATCTACAAAGGGAATAAAATGCAGAGAAGAATGAATATGAGATTTTGAAGAGCTGAGTCTCATAGTGCTGCATGTTCACAAGTCTCTCAAAGCATGACATATTCTTTAAACAACTTCAGTTCTTCCTTTCAATGAGCTTGGATTTTTTCAAGGAAAATGGTAGATGTACTCCGTGGAGTATAAACTCCCACCAAGTGTTTTCAAATTTTATTGGATGAAGAAAAATGAGTAAATAAAAATCATGCCCCACCCCCTTTTATTAAGCAATCAAAGCATGACACATCATTGGGGTAGTAAATGGAAGTACATGTAGAATTAATTTTTTTTTTCAAATCATTAAACCTACCAATGTCTCAAGCCCAGCTAGTCTGAATTGATTTTCCAGCACAGACTCATCCTTGATAAGGAGAACATCTCCCACCTTTAACAAAACACATTATCACTGTGTTAAGCGCTAGTATGCCATCATAATAATATGTAAATAACAATACTTCTAGTTGAAAAATGTACACAAACTTGCCAATTTCAAGAAATTACTTAATCTGATGCTAGAATTATTCCCCTTAGAGACAAAAGGACAGGGGACAAGCCCACCTGTTTGACATCCTCCAGAAGACACCATTCCACTTCTCCAGAGAGTAAGTTTGGCCTCACTTCAACAAGCAAAACAACCCGCTGTCGAAAAGACAACAACAAAAGAGGGTATAACACTATGCAACTACAAGTATCCCTAACAATAGGGTTCAAAGTTTCTAACTTTCATTCAGAAGATTTATACATAAAATGAGGACAACATTGAACTCACGGAATTAATGTCGACCCAGAGCTGAGAAACAAATCCCAAGCTGAGAGCAGAATTAATGGTGATAACTTGTTTAGCAATCATACTCGACCTCCTCATCATTTGCCTCCCGCCCTTCACGCTTCGTTTCTCTAGCTTGGAATCAACATCCCCAGATTCCACTCTACTTCTCACCAATTCTTCATCTTTCACTCGACCCACGCCATCTTTTCCACTATTCTCCCCATGGAATTCAAGAAAACCATCCTCAATCCCATCCCGGGGACTCAAATTCTCGTCTTCATCTTCATCCCTCCGTTCTCTATTCCATTGAATTTCAGTCATTACATCCTCTTTAATCCCAAATTCACCGTAGAATCCATAGTCATCTGAGTTTAAGGGGCTCGAATTTAGTTTGGCTTTTATAGAAGTGTTCGAACTGGGCTTGAGACGGGCGCTGGCATACTGCGCCTTGCTCTTTGAATACCAGAGGAAAGGGAGAAATCTTGGTGTTGGTAGAGCATTAAACCCTAGATTACAAGTGGAAATTAGAGACGAATGGGAGAGCAAAGCGGAATGAAGGCAATCGCACATGGCGGAAATTCTTGCAAATATGAGAAATATTTTAGATCAGAAACCGAGTGGTGGAGTTGATTCTTCACTCACCATCGCAGCCATTTCTGTAACTTTCCTAGCATCATCTCATGTTAACTGCGAAAAATGTTACAGAGTTTAATAGTTTTTTTTACTCTTAACGCTAAATTTGATAGCACTATAGCAGTGATGTTACGACTACAACTCTACAAGGGACGTGATAATTTATCCTACCCAGGGACGGAGTCAAAGGGACAGCTGCCCCTCACCCCACCCCCACCCCCACCCCCACCCTTACCCTATCCTTACCCCCATCTCATATATAGTCTTTGTATGTATATATGTTTAGTAATAATAAAGGTTAATGGTAGTCTTTGTATGTATATATGTTTAGTAATAATAAAGGTTAATGGTTCAAATCCTAGTTTTAACATATTTTTACAATACACACATAACATTATTTTATATTAATAATGAGATGTGTAATTTATAATGTGTTTTCTATTCATATTATTTTATCAAATTAATTATGTTTCATATTTTGTTATGAATATTTTTATAAAGTTTCGATGTGTTTTATTTTTTGTCCATATCCAACAATATTTACAATTATATTTTTTAGGTAATTTATTTATTTATTTTTAAATTATCTCTTTTGTTTTAATGTTTTTTACAATACACACATAATATTCTTTTATATTAATAATGAGATGTGTAATTTATAATATGTTTTCTATTCAGATTATTTTATCAAATTAATTATGTTTCATATTTTGTTATGAATATTTTTATAAAGTTTTGATGTGTTTTATTTTTCGTCCATATCCAACAATATTTACAACTATATTTCTTAGGTAATTTATTTATTTATTTTTAAATTATCTCTTTTGTTTTAATGTTTCGCCTTTACTGGAAAAAATTTCTCAATTCGTCTGTACTTTTTCGCCCCCCTCAACCGAATTTCTGGCTCCGTCCCTGCTACCCAATCTTATTTTATGTGTCTAGTTCAATTAAGAGATTTGACTGAAGTTATTTTTAATATGATTTTTCATAATATTAAATTTAATATAATATTAAATTTAGTATTAGTATGCAAAATTTATATATTTAAAAATTACAATAAAAGTACTATTAAATACAAAAAATTAAATTTAAAATTAAATAAAAAGTACTCAAGAAAATAAACAAAGAATAAAGAGTTGGTTTGACCAATTAATAGTAAGTAGGACAGATAAAATGAGACAAAGATAATAATTTTTATTAAAAAGTAAGGTATGTATATTGCATTAATAAAAATTTAAGGACTAAAAAGATTAGTAATGAATAATTGAGAAACTCAAAGTGTATTTTCTCTAATAAAAAATATATACAAGGGAGGCTTTCAAAAAAATATATACAAAGGAAAATTATATTTTTCGTCCTTAAGTTATAAGATAATTATAGAATGCATCCTTGAGTGTTGATCATACTTACTATTCGTCCCAAAGTTATCATTGGGCCCTTGCATTGCACTTTTCATCCTTTCATACTCACTCTTTGTCTCTAAGTTATACTAAAATTGTAAATTTCATCCCTAATGTTTTATTAATAAAGAGACAAAAAGTGCAACATCATAACATAGGGACAAAAAGTGAGTATAATCTGCATTTAGGGAGGATTTTTACGATTATCATATAACTTAAGGACGAAAACGGTAATTTTTCCCATATATATACAATAATAATAAAATATTTACATTTATTTAAATATTACATGTTGCTCCTTTATCAATGACTTTTTTTTTCCATGTGGCATCCATGTTTAATTATTAAGGTTGTGTTTGGTTGATGGCTTTTGCCCCTAAGAATGGGTATGAAAGTGATTGTTATTATTTGGTTGATAGGTTTTTAGAACACTACTATGAGTTTTGAATACTCCATGAATTGAAAAATTCATACCCAAATAAAATAAGGGTTTCATTCCCTACTCATTTTCAAGCACTACTATTAGTAACCATTCCTATTCCACCTTATTACCAAACATGTTAAATACTTTCACCAAAACCCATTACCATTACCAAGAATTTGATATCCATTCCGATTCCGATTCCCATGTGCGAACCAAACACACCCTAAGTTTAAGATCTGGGCTATCTAATTCATATTCTTTCTATGTACTGCACTAAAATGTAATCTATTCTTTAACAATTGGTCTTAAATTATTGCTAACTATTTCTTGTGCTTAAGTTGTCATGAATGGAAGTAGTTACATGAGATCTCTCAGTGTCCAGTGTTTTAAACTTTTAATCACATGTTTTTACCGTCGTCTTTGGTCATTATTTTCCTACTCCACACATCTAAAGAAGAATTTTGCATTACTTTCATCAATAATACCCTCTGTTATTCTCCAGCCATCGGCCAATTAATCTGGCTGCTCATGGAGATAGCAAACAGTAAAAAAAAAAAAGTATGCTTCTGAAGGTACATATCTTCTATTCCATTGCATGCTGAATGAATGACATCAAAATGTTGCATGCTATCATTAGATTCGATTACGTTATATCTATTAGTGTTAGATTATTATGTTGTGTTAAAATATTAAGTATGCCTGGATTATATTTATTGTGTCGTATTAGTGTTGAACAATTCAATATATTTTATATTGAATGCTTTGAATTACGAAGTATATAAATGTTGTTTAGGAAATTGAAATTTTTGTTGAATGGTAATTTAATTATTGGATATGGTATTAATAAATACAAATAAATTACTTTTTTAAAAAATATACACCTCCTTTCGAATATATATATATATATATATATATATATATATATATATATATATATATATATATATATATATATATATATATATATATATATATATATATATATATATATATATATATATATATATATATATATATATATATATGGATGCACTCAGGTGCGAATAAGTGCTCAGGAGGGAAATGCGAACGAATCAGCGCGCGACACGTGTCCAGATCTAATAACTTAAAAAAAATGCGGTGGCATTTTTGTAAATAATTGAACATCGAACTCACTTACAAGTGCACCTACTTTTACCTATAAGTGCATGTAATTTTGCCTTGTTAGCATTCACTTTCCGCAAACATTCATGCACCTGGGTGTGCTTATAACTATATGTGCAACTACTTATAACTATAGGTGCAACTACTTATAACTATAGGTGCACCTACTTTCACCTATAAGTGCATGTAATTTTGCCTTGTTAGCATTCACTTTTCGCAAACATTCATGCACCTGGGTGTGCTTATAACTATATGTGCAACTATTTATAACTATTGGTGCAACTACTTATAACTATTGGTGCACCTACTTTCACCTATCAGTGCATGTAATTTTGCCTTGTTAACATTCATTGATCTGAGTTCAGCGGGTAGTAATACCCCTGAAAACCACTCGCAAACATTCATACACCTAGGTGCAACTACTTATAACTATATGTGCAAGTACTTAGAACTATAGGTGCAACTAAGTATTGATGCTCAGTGTAAATTTTTACTTGCACCTATAATACATTTTACATGCACTTGTAATACATTTTACATGCACTTGTAATACATTTTACTTGCACTTCGATGTTCAATTATTTACGAAAATGCCACCGCATTTTTTTAAAAAATCAGTGTTTCTCATCCATTAGATCTGGACACGTGGACGAACAGAATTCATTCCTATTTCGCGCCTGGGCGAAGCATTCGCACCTGAGTGCGATTATATATATATATATATATATATATATATATATATATATATATATATATATATATATATATATATATATATATATATATATATATATATATATATACATGTGACCAACCAAGACTATGTGGTCTAATGGTATCCGGGTTGGACTTCCATTTGGAAGGTTGTGAGTTTGAGCCTCTTTGTGTTTCAGTAGGTTGAGAAAGTGTTGTCTTCCAGTATTTACGAACTGCAAGGGTAAACTGGTTGGTTGAGAAAGTGTTGTCTTCCAGTATTTACGAACTGCAAGGGTAAACTGGTCTGGTTGTTGTCTTCCAGTATTTTCGCTCACATTCCCCTACCAAACGAACTGCAAGGGTAAACTCATCATAAAGCACCGGAAAGCACCGGAATAGGGAAAATCACATTGTTGTGTGTTTTATTACACTATTGGTGCATGTTGTCAACACTGTTGGTGTATTCTGGAACCCGCAAGCACCGGAATAGGGAAAATCACATTGTTGTGTGTTTTATTACACTATTGGTGTATTCTGGAACCCGTTATAAATGGCCACTGTAATTACCATAACACCCCCACTTACCAAAACGTGCGAAAATCCTCAGAATTACCACTGCCGTTAGATTAAACTGATTCAACGAGACAGATAGGACCACACCGCCACACCTAATGATATGACCACATATGAGTGCTCTTATTTGTATATATATATATATATATATATATATATATATATATATATATATATATATATATATATATATATATATATATATATATATTAAAGCCCTATAGCCATGGCCAATCAAATTGTCCCAAATTCCCGCCCAAATGAAACTACGACGTTTTGGTTATTCGGTTTAACTATTTGTTTTAAAACATTTGGGACTCCGTATACCGATAGAATACTTAATTAAAATAAAGTGGTTTGCTCCTTGGAAGTTGATCCAGATCATAAACTTAATAACAACAGCCGAAAAATAAATTGAAATTATAAAGTTTCTACATTTTTTAATATAAGGAAACATAATAGAATCAGATTTGAACTCTACTTTATGATTGATCAGAAAACGTTTCCATCTTCGGTGCAACATCATCATTCAGCTTCATTAATGTTTCCTCCTTCGAGATACCCATTGGCAGAATCATCCTCCTATCCTTCTATAAATATTATAGAATAGCAAACACCACTCTCACCTTCTGCACCTTGAATCTAAATCTCATGATGTTCTCGGTTAAAATGGGATCTTTGTTTATATTGGCCAAAGATATCAACAGAGATACCTACACAAAAGCCATTAGACTTCGATTAGTTTGAAGTTATGCTGTCCATGAAGGGCGAAATACGAATATTTTTAAAAGTCAAGAGATGTTTTTTCACGATCAAGAGGTAAGCT